TGGTCATCTGGCTGATTAGGATCAGGCTGGGAAGGAGAGGGTGAAGAGTCAGCTTGTGGAGACTAAAGATAGGGTGGAGGAGTAGCAAAGAAAGGAGGAACATTGTCGAGAGGGTCAGGAGAGGCTTTAGGAGGGGATTCTGGCAGTGTGGAACAGGCCAATTATATTTGGGCCATCCCACATGCCTGAGGGAGAGAAGGATGTGCCCTGAGAGCAATAAAGGCATGAACGTATGGTAATTCCTTCCATTTACTGCTGTGATACCAGAAATTGTCTAGATCTCTAAGGATATTATGATCAAAAGTGCCATCTTCAGGCCACTGGCTCTCATTGTCTAGTTTGTAATAAGGCCAGGCTGTCTGGCAATAAAAGAGTAATTGTTTTGGTCTAAGGGTGTCTCTAAGTCCCAAACCCTTTAAGTTGGACAGGAGACAACCGAGCAGAGTGTATTTTCAAGGATGGGGATTAACATTTCCCATTTTATGACATAATCAAAGGTGAGCTGGAGGCTAGAGCAGCTGGTCTCGAGATCCCTGAAGGGGTCGTCACCCTTTCAGAGATGCGAGAGAGGAGAAAATGCCTAAATCTATACTCCCAGTCATCACTGAGAATGGCAGAAGGGAGTCCCATAGGATGGAAAGGACACAGTAGTCCTTGAAGGGAGTCCTGACATAGGCCTACGATTTTTGGAAAAGGTGGAAAGCAAAACAGGAACTCCTGGAGTGGAAGTAAGCTCACCTGTAAGAATTGGCACAAGCTAGTGTTGTATGCTAGCTGGCAACAGTAAATATCCAGACAAAGGATAAAAGGGCTCATTGGAGGGGGGGGGCTTTAAACCAAGGGAGGGAAAGTCCCTTCCCTTAGAAAGGTCACATGGCCCCCACTGTCCGAGTCACGGGCACCATAAATGATAGATTTCGGCCAGCGCAGAAAGTAATAAAACAATAAAATGCCTTTGTGGTGGGCACAGAGAAGACCACAGAGGGGAGGGTAAGGGGGTCGTGGATTTTCTGGGAGGCCTGGCTGAGAACATTGGTAGCATATGGCCAGGCTGTAGACAGGGTTTAGGGGGTTGGACCAGCTGATATAGCATGCCAGCATTAGGTGCGAGCATGGGAAAATGAAACAGGACACTACAAAGGGGAGCAGGAAGTCGTAATATAACTCAGATGAAGGGTAGGGCTTAGCACATGGCCTCTAGTGGCCAGTGCCATATTGGCCATGGCATATAGCCTCCAGTAGGTGGTGCCACAGTGATTCTAAAGGAATTATAATGAGAGAAGGAACCCATCACAGTTTAAAGTTCCATCCCATACCCATCTTTTGCCACCTCCTAATTCAGATTAAACCCAGACTGCATTAGAAGAGCAGATAAGCTGTTTTTGTTTGAAATTGTCCAGATCAAACCTGCTCCGTTCATCAAGGACATGGTGAAGTCGTTAAACTGATGTAATCTGTGTAGTGATGAGATCAAAGAGGCTCTCATTGTCTTGGCCTGGTCCTGTAGAGGGAAGGAAGGTACTAGGACTGCAATCCTTTAGTTGACATCTCACGCATAAGGGGAAGACCCAGGGATTTCACAAAGAGTCTTTTGTGAGATCCTAACACAGATTAGACAGAAGTCTCTGTCTGAGTGATGCTGACATCCTTAATGACAGAAGAAAGCCCCACAGGGCCTTTTGTCTCCATATTTAGGCCTTGTAACTCATTAGGGGGAAGGTGGTGAAGCCAAGGATAGGTCTTATCTCAGGATGCTTTGACTCCTGTGAAGTAAGGTCAAAACTTCCTGAAGGAGAGTTCCCTTAGCCATTAGTTGAACCCCTTTGTGGTCCAACTGCCTTTGAATTCTGCTTTTATTCTCAGCCCCCAGAAGGCTCATCTGGTACTTTGAGTCCCTCCATGACTCTACTTGAACAGAGTGAAACCAAGTGGGAAAACATCTCTTACATTTACTCTGAAAGAAAAAGTACTAAGAACTTGGATGGCAATTTTTATATACTCACAGTCACTTGAGTTAGGTTTTTAAATGTTACATATTGTTCTATTCAGGAATCAGCCATAGGTCTTTAACTTATCTGCATTTAAAGAGGGAAGCAAAGCCAGTTGACACTGGTCTCAGGCAGGCTCTGGGACTAGACTGCTCAGTGCTGCTCGTGCTCAGTTCTGGCCAAGTTCCTTGGGCATTTTAAAACACACTAGTTTTTCTCCCCCCTGAGTTCACAGTCCACACTCCGGCCCAGCCTGGTAAGATGCCCTTCCTGGAATGCAAGCAGGCCTCTAGTGTGATTCACAGTTCCGAATTAGACCTACCCTATGCACCAACATTTGCCTGGAGGCATAGATCCACTTCTCCGTTTTTAGCTCTGCCTCCTCATTAGTTTTCCTAGTTTTTAAAAGGATGATACACAGTCTTCCTTCTTGTAGGAAAAAATCAAAAAATTCCTCTCTCTGCTTTTGCATAAGCCCACATGTTGTTTAAAATAAGAAGCTTAGTTCATAAGGCCAGTTATTAAAAAAATAAAAAGAGAAAAGAGCTAGAGAAAAAAACGGTGGTGGCCAGTGACAGATGTCCATGCCCAAGTAAAAGTTACTTAGTCAAGCAACAATACAAGATGATGGCTAGGCACATGGCAAGCTAAGATGGTGGCACCCAGACCAGAACACATACAGAAAATGCCCATTAGTAACTACAGAAGCAGAGACCAGGCTAATTTCCAAAACAACAGCAACAACCAAAAAATAGTAGACAACTGCAACATAAACTGAGACAGAAAAATCATTTAAAAGATGTAGTCATTTTATAAAATGGAGTCCTGTACAGCTATAAAGAAAGATAAACTTGAGGCCTTTGTAGGTAAATGGATGCAGCTAGAGACTATACTTACATGTGAAATAAATCAGACTCTCATGTGTAAACATTGTATTGTCTCCCTAGAGTAAGAAACTGAAAGAGTAAATAAGATCTAAAAGGTACAATAGATATTGTGAAAGGGAAAGAAACTGCTCAAAAGGAAAGAACAACTGGGATGTGGGAAGAAAAAAATTTACATATATGCACAAAATAGCTAAGATAATTACAATATTAATTTCTCTTAGTTCATTGAAGACAAGGGTTTGTGCTTAAATTGTTTGATTAGTTTTGCATGCCTATATCTTGTAACCTACTTTGAAAATAATAATATGCAATATAAGCATTGTTAATTTCTTATTACCTTATTTTGAAATTTGTACCATTTTTTGTCTCTTTAAAATAAACTTAAAAAACCCAGAATAGTCATTTTAAAAACTACAGTGAGTGTAAACCAGGTTAAATTCCAAAAAGAATAACAAACAGAACAGAAACTGAGAAAGAGACCAGGTAATTTAAAGTATAACAAACAAAAGGATGGAAAACAAGGCATAGCAGAATAGAATACAAGTGGCTACAAGAAAACCCATAACAGCCCACATTCCCTTCCCTTATTCCCCATGGCTAGAGAGAATGAAAACAGTTCCCTGCTTGCCTTTAGAACAGTCCCCTGCATTCCCAGTTTAGGGGAGAGAATAAAGGAGAAAAGGAGAAAGGAAACCTCAGGTAGAGAAACAAAACTTGTGCCCAACAGGCCTTACTTTGGTCTCCATAACCGGAGCTTTACTCTCTTGGCTCGCCACCCCAAAATATTATCTTGGGGGAGGGGGCTGGCCATGCTTAAAGCCATTGTTATTTCCTATCATTGTGTTTTGAGGTGATGCATCATTTTTGTTGTTTTTGTGTTGTTTTGATTTTTGTATTCATTGTTGTTTTGTTAGCTTTTTTAATCTTTAAAATAAAAAAATTACATTCTGGTTGACACATGCAAAAACTACAAACAAATTTCATTCTGGCTGAAATAACACCCTTCACAATTTTAATGTGCTCCCATAGAAAGTTGTACTGGCTGCACTGTACACTGTTGAACTAGGCTGTACACCTTCCTGAAATTTCTTCCCTCTCTGTTTCATACTCTGTAGAATCACAATAACACTAATTAGAGAATTAAGTGTGTGTGTGTGTGTGTGTGTGTGTGTGTGCATTGTCTAGGGCACAAAGGCTGAAAACTGTCATCTACCTCCCTGATTATTTTAATAACATAGCACTATTACTAATAATTACAACAATAGAATTAAAGGAATATATAATACTGTTAACCATGACCATCTTATTTTGAAATAAGCTTACATTACTTATAAATGTTCCATTCATCTTCTTTAACTTTAATATTGGTTTTCTGGTGTGTACACTTGGTGTCATGTATTTTTTCAATGATCTTGTACATACAAGTTTCTTCACCCAGTAACTGTGCAGTAAATGTTTCTTTCTCTCTCTCTCTCTCTCTCTCTCTTTTTTTTTTTTTTTTTTACCTCTAGCAACATAAGGCAAGTGGATTTGACAGAATTTACAGACAATAAACGTTTGTTTCACAGAGATCTCCTTGGTAGGTATGCTGGGTATAGTTATTTTGTGGCTGTCTATGAAATGGCAAACTGAACATCTGAGTTTGCATTGTGGAAGTTAGATAGCACTTTGTGATAAAGGCTATTTTTAGAAAGAATATGAAATGCAACATGAATAGTAGAATTTGTATTCAAACGGTGAGTGCAAAACTTTATGATGAGAGTTAAAATTCAGAATCTACATGTTTGAAAGTGTCTGTGTTTCCTGTATTGCTAAAGTACAAAGAAGAGAAGGGAAACATGGGAAGAAAATCTAATTGGTTTCTAATTATCGGGGTCTTGGGGACATTTGTTTATCCACCTCTGCCAGATGACATTAAGGAGCCTTGAAGAGTGTTGTGAATAATTACCCAGGTGAAAATGGTAACAAATGGCAAATTCAGAGTTTTATTAACTCTATTTAACAATTTAACACAACATAGGGGCTGGAGTATTTGTAATGACAGATGACTTCCTCAGCCTGTACATTGTTATTTCCTATCATTGTGTTTGGAGACCATGTATCATTTTTGTTGTTTTTGTGTTGTTTTGATTTCTCTTCATTGTTGTTTTTTTAGCTTCTTTAATCTTTAAAATAAAAAAAAAAATCCTTGAATCTGATCTGTAGCCCTGCAAAACACAGAGCACAGGGAAAAGGAAAAGAGGCAGAAAAAGGAGGAACTGCTAGGTTATTTCTTGTAAAATTAGAATATCCTTGGAAATTTTTTCTGTTAAAATATATTTATGATTTCAGAATCTTTCATATCTTTAATTATTCCTTAATGTGGATTGCTAATAGTATGATTATGGAGAAAATATCCAAGTAATTTTAATTTTAAATATTAAAAATAATCCTTTGAGGTTAAGGCAGTTAGTTCATTAGTAGAGGATTACCTAACATGTGGCAGCCATGGGCTCAATCCTCTGCATTGTCAAACAAAATATCATGAAAGGAAGGAATCTTATGGTGAGTTTCATGGCGTGAATTTTGTTAAAATGAAGCCTTTTTGATGTATTAAACTTAGAAAAATTAAGATGGATTAGCACTGCTATTTTTTATAGAATTCTGTACAAGAGCCCTGGATTCATCCATGAAAGTAAATGCACAAGGTGAAGTGCTAAATAAGGTCAAGGAAACTTGGAGTCACCTTATTTCCAGCTGGAGGAAAGTGAGCTACTGAGGTGACTGTAGGTGCCCGGCCACTGCCCATTCAGGGTCTATTAATGGCATTGCGGTTCTTTTCTAATGAGCATAACAGCATGGAAATGAAATCAACGTTATCGCTAAGCTTCTCTGCAGGGAATTATTTCCCTATAGTGAAGTATGGATACTCCAAGGACAGTTTTTCTGAACAGTAACCTTGGATCACTCTCCGCATATTTCTTTAGGTGTTTCAACATGCTCTTTTGGCAATTGTAATAAAAATTCCACAGAACTAGATAAAGAAAGCACTAGATAAAGAAAGCTTCTATGCAATCAGAGGAGACCCAGGCTATTCAAAGCAATCCTGAGCAACGAGTATTGTTTGTATTTTAATGTGATTTCTTAAACACTACTACAAGTATGTCCTGGGGAACAGAAATAGAATTAAGAAGTTTTTCTTCAATTTTCATATTTCTGAAGAATTTCTGAAGATTCTTTTTGCTGCAATTTATATATATATATATATATTTAACACTTAAAATACATAATTTATGTGTAATATGTAAATAAAACTTACATAGATCCATAGTGGAAATTTTTATGTATAGCCCTATTGTCTGTCTCTGTAACTATCTATCCATAGAGATAAATATAAATTCCCTTCTATCTTCTCACCTATGTTTTCTTTCTTTACCCCTTCTGAGTCACCCAGTCCTCACTGGCTGTGGTTAGTAAGGTACACAGGCACTCTTCTCCATTTTCATCTTCTATTTAAGAAGTTAATGTGGAGATCAGTTACATATGCACCTCCCTGTGTAGTTTCTGAAGGGTGTTATTTCAGTCCTGCTCACAGGACTGTTTAATCTTGGTGTGGCCCTTTCATTCTTGTGGCAATACTTCCTGGGTTTTTCTGGAATCTTCCAAGTAGGGTCATTGTGGCTCTCTCTTTGAACGTCTGTCCCACCGAAGGTTTCTGTGCCACTCTGCCGATTTCACTTGCTTGGTTCAATTCTGCATACAACATGTAGCTCATAGGGTTCTTTGTGATTATTAGTTTCTTTGATGAAATGAATTTATCCTTATACCTATTGCATTTTGTAAATGTACTTTCTCATTCTGGATGGGTTCCTGTGAAAGAAAAGTGCACACTCTTTAAAACAAACTTAAAGCCCTTGTTTCTCTTCAGACAAAAATCTAATTTATTTGTCAAAGTACATTAGATTACTATGTAACCCACTGTGTTTGAAAAACCTCTAGTTCCATTGTCCATTGAGGACATAGCTAAATGTATTCCAGTTCTCCCTTACTGCATGAACATAATAGTAAAAACACCACTAACTTGCTTGAATTTATTGGCTTGTAGTCCTACCTCATCTACTTCAAATCAGTTTGAGCATGGGATAAAAAAAAAATAATTCAAACTTTGAATATTCAGTAAGAGTAAATGGATGTCAGTGAATGGAATCACCTGTCACTTCTAGATAAAGTGACTACCAAAATAGGAATATCAAATATATCTGATTTCAATGCCAGTTTCATACATTGCTGAGTATTACCCTGAAAAGATTCTGAGGCTGTGTCTAGTTTTGATGAGATATACCCCTCAATCTAATAGCACAGTCATATCTACCCCAGATTGGGGATTATTAACATTTGTGAAAGGAGGGATTGCCTTTTTACCAGATTTCAAAGTTTTCTTTTGTTACCTTGAAACATTTTGGAGCTTGATGTAATTTTGAGAGAAAATTGGTTTTAACATTTTCTGTTCTCTTTTCTCTACTTTTGCCATTGAGTCTCAAAGCCATACTTAATTACTAATTATTTTATTTCCAAAAACAAATATTAATTTAATGTGAAAAAATAGATTAGAACATGTTATAAAATCTATGAAATCTACAAACACCACAAAATTCTGAAAAGTAAATTAATATTTTCATGCTTCAATTTTCCTTTGTATGCTTTTTTGGTGTACTTTTGTCTGTATTTTCCCTTCCTCATGAAAGTTGTTTTTGTAATTTATTCTTTTGGTAACAGGAATTGAACTCAGGACCCTGCACATGTGAGGCAAGTGCTGTGGCACTGAACTGCATCTCTGGCCTGGTTTTGTAATCTTTTCTATAAAAAGATTACAAAATTATTTCAGGCATTTCTCTATCATAATCAATTAATTTGTTACCTAGTATCTTAATTTTTTTTTAACTTTCACAACTTTCTTTTTTTTTTTTTTTTTTTTTTTTCGGTTTTTCTCCGGTACCGGGATTTTCACAACTTTCTATGGATTATGTTGTGTAAATTTTCAGAAATTGTTAAATTTGGAAACTTATTTTTTCATATTTGAATTGTAAGATTTGAGTGTATTTCAAATATGTTGTGCAGTGGTTAACTTTAAACAATACTAGAATCAGTTACACCCATTAAATAGCTTAATGTCAGTGTTCTTGCTGTAGTGTTCAGTCTTAGCTTTTGGCAATGTCATTTTTCATGCTTTAATATGACTCATTCCTCTTCAGTAGCTACTCCAAAAGCCAACTAATTACCTACATTGAAGCTTGTCTCTTCCTGCTTTGGATGTAATCTAAATAATTTTTGTCACAACTCACTTCTTGAAGTCAGAATATTTTAAATTATTTTTCTCTTCTTACTAATTTCTTTTCTTTGATGCTCTATTATTTTATCCAAGTTTGCACTTAGCTCTTTAATAATTAAATTTAAAGTTGCCTAAATACTGAATCAAAAGGCTGTACTTTCTGATTTTATCGCAATCCCACAATGTGCAAAATCAAGCTGTAGGTCTATTTTCAGATGTATGTATAAGGAGACTTTTAAAAATGAAGCTGATTGTCATCTAAGGTGAAAAACACTGAGTATGTAATTTTTTTCTGCAACTTTTTAGGTGCAATCACCGGTAGAACACATTATTTTCTCCATAGTATTTTATTGCAACAGCTTTTTTCTCCCAAATATTTTTCCTAATAGAATCCTTATAGGTTGATTTTCTTTTGCTTTTCATGCATTAACACATTGCCATTTTACATTGGTAATGTGTCCTTTATTGCCATAAAACCAATCTCACCAAGTCAAATATTTAGTTCCAACACATGTATGAAATGTCCCTTCTGAGATCTTTCCAGACTGTGTTGCCTATCAATTGCTCTTTTGTCAGAATATGGTCACTGCTATGAGTATCTCTACAGGAGAAGATACAGCACATTCAACTAAAAATGTCTTTAGAATGTAATAGTGGCAGGAAAGTTCCTATAATTCTAGTACCGTGTGATATAGGGGGAAATGCATAACTTCCAACCTGCTAATCATCAGATACAATGAGTTAGTACACCCCCAAGTCAAAGAATGAATTCCAAGGAACAATGGAGGTTAAGAGTAAGAAAAAATTTGTTGAGAGAGATAAAACCTGAGAGACAGGAGGAGACTCAAAAGTGGGTTGTCACAGACTTCACTTCTCAGAGGAAGTTTTCTACAGCAAAATTATGAGGTGAGTAGAATTTAGGTCAAAACTATGATCAACTGATAAGATTACAAGTATAGTCACTGAGGTAATATTGATCCAATAGGGAAGCAGGTCATGTAGCAAATGTATATGGAAAGAACAAGGACTTTTTCAGGAAGGTATGAATCAGAAGGTCCTGGTCACCCACCTGGGTGATTGATGTCTATGTAGACTCAATAGACATACCGAGATATCACCTGGATGAGGTGATATCAATTATAGTATAATCTTCAAGTTATTGCTTATCTCTTAGGGAGGCACATAAGCCTACTCATCACATCTTTATTTTAAGGCCCATCTTTCAACAGATGCATTTATAACTATAATTGTACTGTGTTTTCATCTTCTACACTGACTCCCTTGAAGGCATAACTCTGTCTGACTGTCTATAATATTTCTTCCTATCATAGCTATTTGTAATATCAGCATTGCAGAAGGGGTAATTCCAGGAAGAGAAATAGAATCATGAAAAACCACTGTTATAGTTGGGAGGATAGAAGGGAAACAATACAGGACACGTAGTTTATAAGATTATTTATAATAGTTACCCAAAGAGTCATAGACAAAGAGAGTGCAGGAAATCTGTCTACACACTAAAGATCAGTGAATCCAGCTGAGGGCCTGGAACCCATGGCAATGTCCTGTATGAGTCCAGCTGAAGACCTAGAGCCCATAAAAATGCCTCACCCCATGAGTCCAACTGGAGACTTAGCATGACAATGTCTCATGTGGGCATGTTTCATGGATCTGCCCTGGGAAGGCCCAAAGGTCAGTGGTGGAAGATAGAAAGTCTGTGCCAGCAGGTTGAGGGATCTACACTGGAGCCAGGAAGCAAAGCTGAAAGTAAGAACCAGAGCTCCCCTGAAATGTACCACAGCCATCCTCCATGACAGTGAGGTTCCGAGCTTTTCTGATGATAATAGCTGAGCTCCTATCAGGAAAGCCAGCACAACAAGCTTCTCCAGGAGACTGAGAAGTGTACCATCTTCCCCTCCAGAGCCAGGAAGTGATGCTCAAAGCAAAAACCGGACCCCCCCAAAATGAACTGTAGCCATTTCCATCGACACCAAGGTCCTGAGCTCCTTTGATGATGAGAGCTGCTGAGTTCATCAGGAAAGCCAGCATGACGAGGTCCTCCAAGAGAACCCACAGGAGCCCCAGGAAAACCAGCAGCTCCAATAGCTCCCAACAGCTTCTAAGCTTCTTCCTGTCCAGCTCTGCCTCTTGTGCTGCTGGCAGCAATCCTCAGGTGAGCCTCCCACACCCAGCACCATGCGGGTTCAGTTCAGCTGGGTGTTACAAGCTGTCAATCCAACAGAACCACTTATTGTCAACGTGCACATGAATGCTTACACTGATCTAGAGAAAATAATTGTTTTTCTTGATTTCTTTCATCTAAATCTTACACCACAGCTTATCTGTAGCATAATTCATTTTATGATTATACTATGAAAGTATTCTAACACTTTCCCTTTTTTCAGAACTGCATAGAGATGGTCCAGGTTTGAAAATGGGCAATTTTATTTATTTTGTTTACTTATTTAGTATTCATGCATAATGCAAAAAGGTGACCAGCTGTTTTCTAACCAAGGTCATAGTCCACATTTTCAATTGAAGATTAGAAAAACAGTTTTAATTCTTGCAATCCTAACTCATGACAGCATTGATTCTCTATGTTGTCTCCTTTTCATCCCTTAAGCTGTCCCCCGCCCCCGTTTTCATGCATTCTTATGAGGACATGACCACAGGTTTACCAAACTACATGTATTTCTCTGTTGTGATGGAAGGATCCCTGCAGCATTGCTTTGGGCCACAATCAGTTTTCCTCCTGTTTTTGTTTGCTGAGATTTGACTTGCTTTTCAGTACTCATATTGGAGTTCTACTTGTACTCGAAAATACCTTCCTTACTGTCATAACTAAGAAAGTAACTTATTCCTCCACTGCCCGCTGCCAAATATCTTCTTACGTATCTGTGAAAGATGTAGATGTGCTGTTTTCTAGTAGCTTGCATATCCATTTCTACCACTTGATTCTTAGCTTCTTTAGAACAAAAAAATTTAACATTCTAGCATACAATCTGTCATGTTTTAATCCTTCAATGATTTTTTCAATTTCTTTTTGTACCCTGATGCGCCTGGCTAAACCTCCAGTATTTCTAACTATGTCACTTAGATTAACCTGTGAGAATATGGCAGTGGACATCTGGGAATGCATAAGCACACTTTTATGTTTGTAAAAAATTTACAGTAGACATTTATAACCTAGTGGGTCCCACGTGCCCAGTTTCCATGTAGGCTGTGTTTGCCGCACTTTTGGAAATCAGTTATGTCCTGAACACTGTGATATTCCTTATGAGCTTTCATGAAGTTGTGCCCACTATGATGCAGACAATCTTCAACAATGTCCAAATATACCTAACAAAATGGAAACCAGAGCTTAACAAGGGGTTTATTATAAATACATGGAAGTGGTTTGTGTTTAGAGAATGTGGATATGTGCCCCTTGTGGAAAATTGTAGTTTGTCACATAAAATACACTTTGTTATGCTGTTGTCTCCAACATAAAATGTTATACATGTTAGATAACAAAACACTGAAACTGCCTATATATTTCTTCAGA